AATCCAGAAAACCTACAAAGGGCAGTCTCTCTCTCTCTCTCTCTCTGTCCCTCGCTTGCTTGCTTGCTTGCTTGCTTGCTCAGGGTACAGTCCGAAGACCCGCGCCCCACCCCATCGAGAGATTTTTTGACCTCCACCAAAGGATTTTCCTCTGGTCGGCTAGACATGCATTTGTTTCGAGCCCCTCTCCGAACTCTTCAAGTTTAACAACTCTAACTCAAGGAAAACAGTAATGCAATATCCCCCAGTAAAAGATCCAGGCTCAAGAACGGGCTCAACAAATATCTCAGAAGGCTCACCCGCTGCTTGGCTCACAAGGCTGAGTTCACCCTGAGACACAGCAGCACTTACAAAACAGAAGAAACAAGAGACAAACTGGCAGCAAGGTGTGTATCCTTCTTTACGGACGTTACGCAATCAAAGCCTGTCACCGCAAAAAAGGCGGAGGATGGGATCAGCAATGGCCCTCTGAAGCTCAAGTGCGCTCTTACAAGAAGATCCTGCATCCCTTGCTTCAGACCCACAGGGGTAAAACACAACACCATCCCGAATGTAGGTTCCCTTGGCTCGCACCACACACATGTTAGATGCTCACAGCTGTGCGCGCAGCTTGTCAAAAGGAGGCAATGCAGAAGTTAAATTCGCAGAATGTTGCAACCTCAAGTGTGCATCCATGCGCTCTGTGCCTACAACGTTCGACTTGGATATCCTGCTGCCGCCCGGAACCAAGGTTCCAACGCTCACTGCCGCTGTGACCTATTGACTCCCAAAGCCCAGCCTCGCTTGGTTGGTCTGCAAAGTGAGGCTTGTTTGACCCACCTCAATCGGCAGTCGTAGTGTGACACACAGCCCAAGCTATCTGCGAGGTCTGCGAGGTCGGGGCTGGGATGTTGAAGCCCTCGACGCTGTCTTGCAAGGCTTGGCCATTGCTGTTGTCAGCAGTGGTCGCCATGTAAACCTCAGCATGTCGGCATGACAAAAGCTTGCGAAAGGCAGAAAAAAGCGAGCACAGCATCAATCGGCACTCACCGGGCTGCCGGGCCGTCCAGTGACTAAACAGGCTCGAATCATCCGGGAGGACCCAGTTGATGACTCCTTTGCGGAACACGCACGACAAACACGAGAGGATCGATGCTCCGCAAATTCCGGCCTCCAAGCTGGTTCGCGTCCGTGTCCGTGTCGGTAAACGTCACGGACTGAGGCAGTGTAGACACTGCGTTCTCTATGCCCGGAGAACACACCGTCACTCATTCCAGTCCAAGCCTTGCAGCCGGGCCAGTCTACGGAGGTGGAGGTGATGGTGACGGTTGTGGATGTTGGGCGGCCATCATCCCAGAAGGACACCGAGGACTTGGCAGGCAATCGCTGGGTCAGCAGCGTAACGCAGTGTACACGCTACACACCCTCTCCAAGCATGCCACGGCGTTGGGTGACTCTCCGTGCTCATTGTTGGCATAGACCAAGACCTGTCCGTCTCTTGTTACGCGAGCCCCACAAAACAAAAGGCTGCATGAGAGATACTCCGAGCATTGATGCAGCCAAGCTGCATAGACATGAGTCGGGTCACAAGCTTCGTCCGTGATCGAGAGCTGCCGAACAATGTCAAGGACCAAAGGTTGAGGGTGCATAGAAAAATGGTGCATCCCTGCCATCAGCAACGCGCCCACCTCCGTCAGGTCCTTCGCTACTGTCCCGAGGAGTTGCCTGTTTGTACCTGGTGCTTTACATCGAAGAGTGCGCTGCTGCCCCTGGCTGCCCGCAAGTATCTCTTGCGGAGCGTCCCAAGGCTCTTCGGCCGAGCTCTGTTCTCTTCGGCCAACATCTCTTGGCAGGCCGGGCGGGCAGGAACACAAGCTGCTTTGCTTGAGAAAGGACAGCCGTTCCTATCAGAATTCCTGGAGCACATGTTTGATGCAGGAGGGCGTATACAGTTCCAACATTCGGGTCTCCCGACATGCGGATCAGATTTGCTAGCCCCGCTCGCCATCGCCCCTGCTCATAGAAGCACACCTTAATGTGCCACACTGAGGGTCACCCTGCGTGTCATCTGCGATGTAAACCCGCCAGTCCGAGGCAAAGCCGTAGTCCTACCAATCATTAGGTGTTGTGTCTGACACCTCCATTTGCTGTTTGCTCGTCGAACATTGCAAGCTGCAAGCGGGTCCGTGGTTGCGCCGAAGGTCCACGTGACCGTGCCCGTGAGGAGATTCTCAGCGGGATTGCCGTCCTCGGCTTTGCAGGCACCTTTTGACAAAGCTTCGCAAAGATCTCATGCATCCGACTATCAATGAGATCATCTCATGCGTGTCTCTCTCACACAAGATGCGTCTCAGTAGCTGTGAAGGCAATGGAATCCACGAGGGCAAGTCCAGCCCAATCTCCGCCGAAAGCTGGCGCAGACAAGCGTGCGACATCGATCGGCAGAAAGGCTCTGCCAGCAAGGTACAAACAGAGACGCTCCACAAGAGTACATGTTGGGTGCACTCGTCAATCTCTGAGGCAATCCGGAAATCAATAATGGCATCCACAAACTTGGAATAGCATCACCGTACTGAAACGAAAGTCCACGTTTCCGATGTAAGACAAACTCAGACGCACGTGTGAAGACTTGTGACGGTCAGTTCTCTCCGGCAAGAACTCTGGAGGACACTCGTACGCACTTGGCGGGCTGCCCACCGTCAAGGAATGCTCAGGTTTCTCTCAGGAGCGGCGATGTGAGCTGACATGTCGCTCTTGCACACGGATGACAGTTTTTCCTGCTTCGTCGTCGTCTTGGCGAATATTCAATTGGTTATATTTAGGTTCTCTTTTTGCAATTCCATTTAGAGTGGTCACTCGAGTTGCCTACGCGCATGTAGCGATGTGGCTGAGAAGAACCAATCGCAAGGAGCTCGACTAGCAACAAGGGATCAGAGGCGATGCGCTGCCTCTTTGTCTCAGGATTGCTCTGAGGCCGGAACTCCCCACGGCTGCATTGGCGGCATCGAGGTTGGAGATATCAGTTAGCATCACAGATCCAGCCTCACGCTCTCACAGCAAGTCACGGATCAGATCTCTGGCGAGTGTTTCGGAGCCTCATTGGCCGGCGAAAATGCCTGGCGTGCATCAACCAAGCCATGAATCCTGGACTCCACCGCGCACCGACTTTAAAGCCAAGCAACGCCACTGCCTCAGACAGGGACAGAAATTGAATACTTGCATCTGCATGCAATGCTAGACCCACACCAAGAATCGATAAGCTTGCACCACGATGTAGTTGGCCCAAATACCTCCAGTGTTGGTCCTGTGGACAAAGAAACGCCAACAAGTGAGGGTCCTGTAAAAATGGGTGCAGTGACTCAACTTATCATTCACGTCTGCGGTCCCGCGCACGATACCTCTGGCATCTGAATTGACGATCTCGTATGATCTCGCCGTCCTGTCGATGTTGTCCTTTGGCAAGGCTCGACTGCTCGCTACATTTACACACGGCATCAGGAACATGTCACCTTACAGACATCAAAGGCACAACCATAACAGCACCATCTGCGCCCGTGCTGGTCGCGGACTCGGTGGTGTAAACGAGTCGACAGCCGGCTTTCAAAGCCAAGAATACACAGCTGCTCTCGGCGAGATTATTACTCAGGCCGGCACCATGACAATGCGGAAGTACTCGAAGGCCGGATTGTCAGGAGCAACCCATGTCACCGTACCATCAATCCAATAGCCCGATCCACTAGTGTCCGCGAAGCCGACATTGGTGACAACCGCCTGCCATCCCACGTGTGCAAGCTAGTCAAGCTGAGGCTTGCGGACCAGTCCTGGGTTGGATCGAGAGTATTGGTGACCGTGTGGCTGGTCGTCGACGTGACTTCAGTTGCCTCGCAACTTCAGGCATTCCAACAGTGGGCCACAAAAGGATTCAAAGCGATACATGTTGTTTCGCGCAAAACAACTGTGTTTCTCCGAGATGCCGTCGTAGTGGTGAAGCTCCCGGAAGCGGCTTCAAAGCAGTGGGAAAACGACGGCGTTGCTGAGATGCCGAGCCTGTTCTTTCCATACATCCTTAGCTCACAGACTTGCACAAGCACATGCGCATATTAAAGTCATAGACCTTCTGACAGTGGAAAGGAGAGAAAGCTGAGCCAACCACAGGAGACATGTCGCGGTTTGCTGATCCGTGTTGTCTGGAATGGTGTAACCTGCTAACACGAGGCACTGCACTTGGAGATACTGCACCAGAGACGAACATCCGGTGTGCACGAACAAGAAGATCAGAAAAGCCAGGAAGCTAAGCGATCCAGGTTCTACTGTCGCTAGTTCGAAACCGCCGTTGCCGCCAGCATCCAGCGCCAAATAGATCGCGTAGTCTGACCTTTGAGCGCAGCTTGACGGCAAGCAGAGCTGTAAGCCCCGGAGCTATCACCATTAAAGTCAATGATAGTGCAGACCAAAGGCAACAGTGTGTAGTCATAAGTTCCTTCATTGTACGTTCCATCGACCGTCCATGTCAAGGTGCCTCCAACCTGTTGTGGCACTCTGTCAGCAAGCGACTTGCTAAGATTGTGAGAACATGTTCGAGGCCGAGGATGCCTCGCCAGCATCCGCATCTGTATCAGAGAACGTGCCGAACAACAGTGGCGGTGGGTCGGGGACGGTGCCACCATTGGCTGCATCTACATAGTCGTAACCTCTCGGTGGACAGCTTGGCAAAGAGTAAAGCAGCACCGCGACTCGAATTAAGACTGCAACAGTGGCTGACTCCGTATGTTGCCACACCCCTCGGTGCAGCTTCTATGCAGAAAGCCGGCCCTGGCATCGTCCAAACCAAGCACGCAACTGATCCGGCATCGGAACAACGACGAAGTACGCAGACTTGGCCCCACGAAATTAGGAAAACTTGTCTCAGAGGGTCGTGCACCACAACTGAAAAAAAAAACTCGGGGTGCAGGCCCAGGGATTCTGGAACTGGGTGGCACCTTAGCTCAGAGAGCGTGGTAACAAGTCGCAAGCAATGCGGCGCAACAGCTGAGGACATGACTGCAAGCCTTGTAGAAAAAGTCATTGTTCCCAGCGACGCCGCGAATGGAGTTCGTTCCAACCTGTGTCTCGTCATAATTTGCACTTCAGGAGCCTACAGTGGTTGCAAGCATTCGAAACATCCGCTTCTCGGAACCGAGCTGGAACATCCTGCAGGGTGCCTTAGAGAGAGGCGGGCATGAAACACAATGTATGCAAATCTCCTATTAACGGCCCCTTAGGAGGTCCATTGTTCACTTTTGAAGAACGGCACCAAACGACACTACATCTAGATCTGGCATTCTAGGACAGATTCTAGGAAGGCCACCAGACCGCCCGGTTGAAGCATATTCGCGGGACTTGGAGCTTTCAATGCTCGGCTTGAGGCCAAGGTCGAAAGGTGAGGGTCTAAGTCCAGCGACGAGAGCAGCATTTAGATGTGAGGGGAACAGACTCCTGCAGGCGGGCTGCCACCGGGACCATGATGCACTATGAGAGGTCCATCGCCGGCATTCTCGAAGGAAAGATCTGGACTACATGCAGGGTGAACCTCGGAAAAGGAATGGCCCCACTGCAGCAACACCGAACAGCAAATACTCAAGCAAGCGGCGAGATAGTGGGTTATGCCGGTCAGATCTGCCGGCGGATCCCAGCTGATAGTTCCAGCAAGTACGTCTTGGTTGCATCCAGGATCAGATTAATGAGAAATACAAAGAAGCCGCGACAGGCCAAGTCACATAGCGCTGGGTTTTCATCACTAAACTGTACATTGGTGACCTGGCTTTGTGACATCATGCTGGAGCCATGATGTTGGTTGCAACTCCACACTAGCATGACGACGCGTTTTCGTCTTTTGCGGACAGGAGGGTCGCCTGACCAGCGGCTATGGGCCCCGAAGCCCACAAAACGATGCAAACGAATAACCTTAGATGACACCAACTGCAAAGAAGTTCGTCTCAAGACAAAGCACACAAGCGATGCAAATGGTCCTCCTTGTTGGCTAAGCCACAGTCGCAAAGCTGGCAGCTGTTGGCACTGCTGTTGCAACCGCATAAGGAGCCCGAGCGACTTGTGATGCAAGCCACGCCTGCTGACATTGCAAATGCAATGAAGTTGATTGGCCAGTTTGGTGCACAGCAGCACGCCTTCGGCGTGCCACATCTGTACCTGCAGCCTAGCAATTCTCCCAAGGAAGTTGCAACGGCTTGGATCAGCACAAACGCCACCCGCGCCTTTGCGAATTCCTGCGACCCTCTGTTTAGAGTAGGGCAGACCTGAGCCACATCTCACGGGGTCTGGTTCGGCCTCGCTATCGACTGAGGAGCCAACATGGCTGGGTGCCATTTCCTGCTGAATGAGCCCCCACTAAGCTACTGAGACTGCAGCCGATACGCGCAGCGAGAGAGCAAGGTTCTACAGGAAAATTCCCAGTACCCCACTGACCCCAACTTCTCCGACACTACACCTGGCGCCATTTTGCTGCTTTTGCGTTCATCCTCGCTCAAGCTTTCATGAGCAAGGGGACTACGCCGCACAGGTGTCGCACAATCGAAGTTATGCTTCAGGCTTCACATGAGCAAGCCAGCCAAGGATGGCATCCGCAGCCATCTTCCACCTCAATTGTTGGATTTTTGAACATGAAACCCCACAAGCTTGTCGAAGCAGGTTGCACAGGTGCCGCGCCTTGCTCCCAGCATGGCATCATGCGCCACTCCTCGCTCTCCAGCTCTTCATCGGATGCAGATCAGACAAGTTGCCACTCAGTTTTGCGAGAAGTGCCGCGCCTTGCAAGATGACGGGCTCCACTCCATGTGCTGCAGCGGCCTCCTCCAAAGCCTACAATGCTTCCACGGTGATCTCTAGACTCGAGCTGTCGCTGAGACGATGCGATGGCACAGTGCCGCTTTTGCTAATGGAATTTGCAGAGGCTGCAACTTCTCCGGAGAATCCAAAGACAAGCATGCGCTTCTTGCGCATCCTTGCAATGGAAGTGGCAGTCTGTACGAGTGCCAGGCAGACGACTTCGGTCTTGCAGTGAGACTTGCTCGGCAAAGCTTTGGCCAATGCAATTCGCTAAAAAGCCAGGGCTTTTCTCTCGAAAACCGGCCTGGCGACCGCCAAAGCTTTACGCTTTGACCTTTGTCGTGTTGGCCTTCAAGCGGCGTGCGGTATAGATACTGCGCTTTACAGACTGCACCGCAGGCCTCAATCCAAGGTTGGACGAGGTTGGAGCACAGGTCAAGAAGCCACCTGACTCAAGAGTCCATCAAGCATGATGCGATGAACAACCAAAGCCGAGCATTCCTAAGCTTTCTTACCTCTTCTGCCGCTGGCGAGTCAACTTCGCTGCCTGGCACTCTCCAAAAACGACTGAATGACTCAATCTGCCTTGAACCGTACTGCAACTTGCACTTTGGGGAGTTCCTTCGCTCGGAGTTCGCCAGCCCGGTGGGACAGCCCCTTGCGAATCAGGTACATCTCCTGCTTTCACATCTGTTCACAGGGTCTTGCTGCGGGTGTAGATCAGAACTCTGCTTCTTGGCAAACAGCTGCGAATGCTTCCAATACGAGCAGCGATGCAAGCGGACCTAGCGAATCAAAAGCAATCAAATCACTCTCCTTCCGACTTGACGACCGGGATCCCAGACAAAGTGTGAGGAAGTTGGGCAAGACATCTCTTGGACCAATTCGTCGAGTTGCATGATGGCTGGCATCCAATGGGCAATGGGCAAACGCAGAAACAGGGACATCGTCGCGACGAGGGCCAAGCCTGTCTGTTGAGGCGGCGCAAGATGCAGAGCAAGCTTGCGGCCGAGCTCTGCTCAACGTTTTCGAAGCCAAAAACCCTGAGAAAGACCCCCAACCCTGAACAGAAAACTCGCTTCTCTGGACACTGAGCCCCTCCGCCCCAGAGTCCTCTTGATTCCAACTAAGAGTCGCTGATAAGATGTTCAGAGCTTGATTGCTTCTGGCATTTCGATCCCAGTTAGGAACAGTCGTGGATTCGAACGAGATGTGAGTCTTGATTTGATTCGTGTCTTTTGCGTGGCTTCTTCCTCGACGCTTGCGGTCGTCTACTCAAGTCGTCAGGATCCACAGAGTAAGCATCAGGATTACCAACTAAGGGAGCCAGCACGCAGTCCTCCGCCGCAAATTTTGGCCCCATCCGAGCTAGAGGTAAGAGGAGGAAGAGGAGATGCACGGAGGCCTCTGAACACACGTGCCGAGTTGCACACAAAGTGCGAAGGGCATCTGAGGTTCACGCATCCGGCTGCTGCTTCATGAAAGTCAGGAAACCGTTGTAGCTCACGCCACCTCACCACGTAAATGGGCATCGGCGGGCCAGCAAGGCACGGGTCTACCTACCACAGTTGAAAAATTTGTGCACAAAACCGAGTCGTGTACTGGACTCTTCGGATGCGACACGCTTCCAACGTGCCTCACGGTTCGGAGCACTGCTCAAGGCTTTGCCCTAAGGCTGCGATGAGCGGTCAACACCACAGGGACTCTCTGTGGGGCCGCGCCGCGCCTCGCTACGCTGGAGCGCCAAGCTCAGAAACCTCGAAGCAGGCAAAGCTCTGCCCTCTACGAGAATCGCACAAGGGGGAGCTTTGGGGACCGGGCTCCGCAAGAGCCAGGACCTGTGCTTCCAAGCTGGACTCGGAGAGGAGCTCGTTGGACAAGATGAGACGCAGTGACTGAGCCAGGCTGGCACTGGAGACACCTCGAGGCGACGAGTCATCCAGGAAGCGCGCAGCTGCACCAGCTGAGTGGTGCACGCCCTCGTGGCCAACGAGGACGCAGAAGAGCAGTCGCGAGAGAAGCTCGGATGCCAGATAGGAAGTGGCCACGTCGGAGCCCTCAGGTTGCAGAGCCCGCATCAGGCGGTAGAAGACTTCGAAGGGAAGCTTCTCCTGAAGCCATGCTCCGTCCTCCTGATTCTCGTCATCATCCATTTCGGATTGATTGCTGGCCACCGTGTGCGAGTTGCACGGGACAGCAAAGAGGAAATATCTGGCAGCACGCTGACACGCACCCTTGCGTTGCATGCCGAACAGAGCTAGGAAAGATGTCAAGTTCTTGACCGTCATTTCTGCAGGTGAAATGCTGTTGAGAATTCGAGCACGGGTCTTGACCACCTCATCATATCCAGGCTTTGTACGGTCCGCAGCTTTGGACTTTGACTTCTTGATCATGCCCGAGTTCAGCATTGCTAGACTACTGCTGCGCAACATGATCTGCCTGGCATCTGTTTGAGACAAGCTTTGCGCGATCATCTGCCTTCTCTCCGTGTCATCGTCGCTGCTGGCGGCACTGCTAGATTCCTTTTGATCCTCCATAGTGATGACCTCCCAGCTACCAATCAAGACCCTCTGGTCCAGTCTTGCCAGCAGTCTTTTGGTGACATTCTCCACGTCGGGGGGCCCAGCAGGCCTCGTCACCGAGCGTCGCCGTGAGGGGCTGTGGCCACCTCTTGTGTGGCGGCTGTGCTGGCTGTGACGACTGTGGCGACTGCTTCGGCTGTGATCTTTCTTTCCTTGTGGCATGTCGGCTTTGGGCCTCTGAAGGTTGAGAACAAAGGTAAAGCTCTCCATCCAGCTTGCAAATGACTCTGCATTCAGGGCCTGGGCCTTAAACCGGTGGCCCAAGTCCAAGTGGCCAGCCCCCTTTCCTGCTAGCCCAGCCTCCTTCAGCAAGGAGCGTGTCTTGTAGAGCTCACTCCGAAGGGCCTCAAACTTCTTGTCGCCCTCGAAGGAGGGGCTCTTCACACTGATCATCTCGGGTCTCCGCAAACGTGGTGCCGAGAAGGACTGTGTGCGACCTCTCCTGACAGGTCGCTTGGTGTTCTGCCTGGAGGTTAGGCATGAGAGGCTCTGGGACGTCGGCAACTCGATCTTGTCCATGAACATATCCTGCTCTCTCCTTTCCGGTAGCTTGGGCAAAGCAACTGCTTCCGGAGGATCAGAATAAAAAGCAAAGATCTCAAACCACTCGTAGACGACATCGATCGGGTCTCCGAAGGTCATAACCAACTCATGAAGCAGGTCATCTGTGCGTTTCTGTCGCTTTTTCCGAACTTGGGACGCACCAGAGTCTGCCGAATGAGCTCCATCACCGTTCCAAAGAAAGGTCGTGCTCCCATGAACACCCGCCTGCACCAACTTGGCAGGTGTCGCGCTTGCAGGTCTCGTCGGTCTGTTTGCAGCACTTCCTCCGCCGCTGCTGCGTTCTCGGACGCTCGTTTGTGCACGAGCCTCTGCGCGGGAAGCCATGTGCTTGCCATATTTGTAGCTGTATACATCCAAGCCCAGCACGAAAGGTACAGGATACATCCCACCTTTGGGGGTCACTGTCAGAGGCATGGTCCAGCTATCCGACGCCTTGACTGCGGACGTTAAACTGTCCTTGACTCTCGCGTCTTCGACCATTGCGGCTTTCGGTCGAGTGGTCGGCAAATCAGATCAGCTGCTATCGCAAACTCGAAGAAAGCCAGTGACCAATCGCTGCAAGTCTCAAGCCATAAGCCCAATCTGCCCGGCTAAAGCTGGAGCCCAAGCAAAGGCTGCAGGAGACACTAGTTCCACGGCACTTCTCTTGCTAAAGCTGACTTTGCATTCGCATAAAGCCTCTTTGTCTACGATGACATCTGCATCGCCTGGCAGCAAGACGTGCGGCAAGACTCAAACATAGTGGGGACAGACTCAACGCCTCCAAGGACAAGCACCGGCGCATGGCCGCAGGCTTCCACCGGTAGCGACCTCCAGCGGCTCGGAGGCAAGCTACATAACAAGCAGTCTTAAGCCACCTCTGCAGCTGGCGTAGGTCTAGCAATCGTGTTCCTTCGGGACAGCCTTCCAGGGTAGACTAGCGTAGAGCATGAGGCATCTGCCACATCGAACGGAAAAGACTGTCCTTCTTTCATCAGGTCCATGTACTTTCCGACGTCTTCCACAGGGGTGTCCGCATCGAAGAATAGCTGCAAAGCGAGCGGAACATGGCTACAACATCTCCGTCAGAGTGTACGTGTATGTCACTGCATCAGACCGCATGGCAACAGAATGGAGAGGCAAGGAAGGCCTGTCGGCAAAGCTCTGCATCTCTCTCGAAGGCACGTGCAACGAAACCCCAGGTGATGCGCAGAGCTTGCAATGGAGCTTTGAAGAGGCTGCGAAGGATGATGCCGACATTGCCCGCTGGCGGGACGGCGCAAAGCAGAATCAGGCCAGCCAAGGCCCCCGAATCCTTCAAGGCCGTGGCTGCCTGCAGCACCATAAGACCCCCGAAGCTGTGGCCCAGCAGGACCACCGGCTGCCCGTGAAGTTCCCGAAGATGATGAAGGTAGGCCTGGATGTCGGATGCGTGCTCCTCTAATGCACCAGCCACAGGAAGCTTCGGGAACATCTTGCCACGTCCCTGCCCTCGCAACGACAGGGCATACGTGTTGAATCCCTGACCTCTGAAGAAGCTAAGGAAATGTTCCTCGTAGCACCATGCTGCATGGTAACTCCCGTGGATGAGTAACAGCGTGACTGGCTGGACTTTGCCATCGCCTTGTCCGCCGAGAACTTCCAACTCGATTTCGGGAGATCCAGGCACCGGAAAGAGGTCAAAGGGAGCGGAGCCGCTTGCAGCAGAGGTGGTGCATCGTGCTCGAGGTGCTCGAGGTGCTCGAAGTGCTCGAGATCTCGCGCCCAATGCTGCACCTCCGGCGAGAGCCCACCAAGCAGCACGTCGGCACCTGCCTCTGCGGCCGCGTCTACTCTGGTCCCATGGCCCAGGCTGCCGCTGTCCTGGCCCGAATCGTCCAGCTTTGCTCAGACCTGCCACTGCAAGCCAAGTTCCGGAAGCCGGCCACGGAGGTGCTGCGATCATAGCAAACCGCCGTTGTCAAACTAAAGTGGCAGGGAGCACTTTGCAACGCAGTTTTGTCTAAGTGTTCTGCCCGCAGAGCATGCGGTGGTCTTGACTGCGATATGATCTTTTAGGCACAGCGGCAGCTGGTGATGAAGTGCAACTGGAAGGATAAGATATGTGCTGTCTGTGTTTGCTGGAAGCATGGGGCTCCGATGCATGACTTGTCACCACAGAAATTTCCAGGAGACAGTATTACCTGCGGAAGACAAGAATCCTTTTCACTTCGAAGTCTTGTCATCTTGGCAGTCTTTGGCACAGGGAGAATCAGGCGGCTTCAGGCAGCAGCTTCCTGTGTCCGCACGCAACCCGGAGACTGCAGAGTGCCGCCCCCGATCCCAATGCCTCTTGCCGGGCCTCAGCTGCCATGGCAGCGCCCTCTGCACGCGCATCTTCAAGGACGCGTTGACGTCCACCTCGATCCGCACCGGCAGCTCCCTGCCGCGGTGACACGCCCAAGCGGAGAGACGCAGGCGCGCGTCTCTCAGCTCTTGCCGGGCCTCAGCTCCGGATCACGGCGCAGCCACCGGGCCGCGCGCTTCCGGCCGTCGTCTGAGCTCGGGAGCCGGTACAAGGGCCTCCCCAAGGAAAGAAGGCCGCCAACCGCAGAAAATCTCACAGAGCTCACAGAGCTCAGGAGAAGACGTGAACCACTCGTTCTGGTAGCACAACCTGAGCACCCGCAGGCGACAGGTGATCACTCCCTATCAACCATCTTGTCCGAGGGGCATGTCGAAAACCACAAAGGCACGCAGTAGGTCCGTGGGCATCCACTCGCGCTGAAGCACCTGTGGGGATGAAGGCCAGCAGGATTTCCCTTTCTAGCACCGGCAGGCTCACGGGCTCACGCCTGCTGCACGTCCCTCTTCCGCCGGCGCAAGAACTTCTCGAACTCCCGGAAGCGGGACTGGAAGTCCTCAAGGACAGCTCGCCGTTGAACGGCTAGAAGCACAGAAGGGGACGCTCTGGCGCCCCTGTTTGCACGCATGGTATGCGAGGCTTGCAGGATTCAGGGTGTAATTTAAACGATTTCCGAGGACTAACACAGTGCATTCTGTGATGGGTTACATTTTTGTGTTCCACGCCATTTGCAATAGTCAGACGAAAAAGACGAAAGATTAAGCTGATTAGGCCATGTGAGCAACGAAGGAGGGCTCGCCCCGTGCATCTGTAACCAACTCACACTCTGAAGCTTCTGCAGACCCGAGCTTCGCCGACACTCTGACGCTTACGAAGAGTCGAGCTTCACTCAGAGCTTCTCTGGATTTCTCTGAAGACTCGAGCGTCAGAGCTTCAGACTTCTGTCTGGAGCTCCAAGCCCCGAAACAAAAGTCTGCGACCTATGGCCGGGAGTCCATGTTGCTTGCAGCCTGCCGAAGGGCTAGCTTTTGCAGCTTCCTCGTGCTTCGTGTCATTCGATGCACAAATGCTTGCGATTTCCGAGAATGGATTTTACCTACATCAGTCCCACATCTTCTGAGTGACACTTGGGTCACTGTGTGGCAAGCTTCGGCGTTCCAACGTGGAGCGAACCTGCACCTATCGCCGGAGATGATGAGCACGTAAGATAAACATGATGTCATGAAGCTGCCCAGCCCCAGCTCCAAGCAGGCTTGCGATGTCTGTGGCAAACCCTCAACTCGAAAAGCTGCACACAAGAACTACCAAACCCTGGCGATTATGATGGATCGCAGGCTCCCAGACCCCAAATCTAAGGATGATTCAAGCACTAAGCCCTAAAGGAAAAACGCAAGACATGGTGGGTGGCAGACCGCACCGTGGTCAAGCAAGGTATCCTAGCTTGTCAAAAGCTCAATCCGAAACCCTCCGTAACAAATTCGCCAAATCTGAGCACTGTAAAGGGGACTGATGACTGGCAAACCCCAAATACTCTTAGAGTACGACTTCACAGGAACCCTGATACTGAGCAGCAGATATTGAGCTCCAAAGCCACAGCCTCAGAAGCAAAGGATAAACCAAACCTTGACAGGAGATGGTAGGTGGCACGCCCAAACCCCTGAAGTGAGTGCAGAGAGCATTGAAAGGGGTCCTGAGTCCCTCCTCAGAAGAGAGGTCAACGTTTTGGAATCTGCTGTCAAGAAAAAAAGTCCAATGAAATCCCTTGCAACTTGAGCTTTTGCACAAGCCTGAAACGCGTTGTCCTCTCCGCTTGTGGCGTAAATTCTTCATAAATGGCACCTCTGAACGAATTGATATAAAAAATGGCAAGCACAACAGCTATGTATAGTGTTCAATCCTGTAGATATACACAAAGTCTATGTCTCTTATCACGTTTGTGGCGAGCCCCAAGCGAAGCCTACCGTGACCCGGTCCGCTCTCCTCCAGCAGCTGCTTCGAATACTCGGCCTTCTTGGCTTTCTCCATGGCCCCGAGCTCTTTTTGCAAGGCCGGGAGCGAGCAGGCCCTACAGCACTGTGAGGGGAGACTCGAAAAAGAGAGCTCATCCCGCAGACTCCCCCCCCTCTGGGGTTTCTGGGGCTTCGGCCTGCCGTCGATGCTGGGAAAACCTAGGAAAAATTTCCGGTACGCGGAGAAGATCTCACTCCTCAAGGACGAACAGCAGCAGACAACGCAAAGCAAGCAACCATCCAGTCATGGCCTGACGGGAAAGAAAATTTCTTGCTGCTCGTGGATCACGTCTTTCAAAGCAGCTTCCAGTGCCTTCGTCCTGTAGCAACAGCAGTCAGACAGATCCTGCATGCCTTCCGCATCTTTAACACAAAACCAGTCTCCGTCGGTACCGCTGCACCACCTTCTTGCTGCCGCCTCGGTCCCAAGCAGATCCATGCGGCGGGAACCTTTCAAGCCGAGCCAGTCTGCGCCGGCCTTGCTGAGCAGAATGTAAACTAAGGTCCTTGTCGAAGACTGAGGCCTCGGAGGCACCAGACCCCAGCCAGAGCCAGGAGTTCTAGTGACCGATATAGTGAACTTGTGTCGAGGTAGCGTAGCATGACAGCTCCAAGCCAGGCCACGGTCACTCGCAAGCTTCCAGGCCTCTCCAAAGGAGAGCATAACTTTCCAAACGCCACATTGACATCCGATGAAGGCCTGAAATTCTCGTGCTTATCGATTGCCGCGGCAATCTTCCGCACATCAAAGTCCTTGGCAAACGGGAGTGCGGCCCCTGCTGGCGGTGCTCAGCTCGTAAAAGACCCAATCCGTCATCCGTCACTGCGCACCCGCTTTGTGCTGCTCTGGGTCCGACATGTCTGGAACTCTCGTGTGAATCTGGAGCTCGATCTCCGTCCTCGAAATTCGAAGCGCAACTTTGGCCGATTTCGGCAACACATCGTCGGCCTTCGGCTGAAGCTCTGCCTTACGTTCAAGGACCGCTGGCGTCCTGCAACATGTGGTTCAATGATACTCTGCACCTTACAGCTTCCAACAAGGCCGCAGCTCCGAGTAGTGGGTGGAGCAAAGGAGTCACGTTGGGAGGCTTTGAGATGGTGCGGGCTACACGAGGCCTCAAGGCTATCTGAAGGCCAAATCACTAGAAGAACCCACACATGCAATGCTGTTCAGGGGTATATAGACCTACAGTCACGAGTCATAGGAGCCTCTTGCTCGCTCATCACCATTGCTTTTGACCCCAAGTCCTCTAAGTCGCTGCAGGAGTTCGTAGCAGTTCCAAAGGAGTAGCATGACGACCAGGACAGCTCCAACTGCAGGCAGGGCAAGAGTCCCATGCAACCCTTTGGGGCGCTGGATAGGCCTGCGAGCACGAGACTGCAGCAGCAGCTCCTCTTCCTGCCTGGCCAAAGTGGAAGGTGATCCGGGGCATCAAAACAAACAGTGCATCGGCCGAGGGACGTGGCGGCCTGGCTGCCGCACCTCTGGAAGTGGGGTTGAGTCAGTTGAGTCACATCTCAGCCGGCTTGCTCTGGGCACCTCCCACATCCGCTTGTCCCGCTTTTCCCTGGCGATTGTCAGCCGGAGCCGGGCGGTAGATGTCCAGCGGCGGCTGCAGCGGGATCTCCTGCTTTGGAGCAAACAACCACACACGGACTCCATTCCCCTTCTCATTCCCTTCGCTCCAGGCCAGCCATGGCCGCTTAAGGGGCTGCTGCTCAGTCTCTAGGCCACTCTAGGCCCTGCCCTTGTACGGACCCGAAATGAGCAAGCTTGTAAACGCATCTGCTCTGAGACACAAGAGTTTCCACATCATGCGGCTGCAGATTTGGCTGCCTTGCTTTTCCTGGCACTGTGTCCGCCATCTATGCATGCTCCGAGAAAGCTTGCAAACGGCAGCATGTCGAGAAGGTGCGGAGGCGCAGACAGAAGAAGTTTGGACAAGTCGCGCTAACTGTCTTCCACCGTCAGGAGTCAAGGACACAAAGCGGCTCAGCAGAAGACGCCGTCTTTCAATTCCGCCACCGCATATCTGACAAGTATGCATGGCCTTGAGCCGCTCATGGGCAAGCACCATTTCACCAGGGCCTTGGCAAAAAGAGGACGGCTAGGCTTTTGACATCGACGATTTCGAGGTGCAGAGGTGCAGGCTCGGGAGCTGAAGCCCATGAGCGGAAACGGCGCTCGAGAAGTCTGCAGGCAACTTGCCTGCCTCTGCACCTCGGATCGCTGGGTGCCTCTTTTCCTCGCATCAGCACTCGACGTTTCCACATCTGCCTTTGCTGAGCATGCCACGTCTTTGAAAACCTCGAGGGTGCTGGAACTCCAGAACCCACGCATGAAGCGCATGGCGAGACATAGTGGTCGTTGCAGGCGCACCGTACCCCTCATCGGCAAGTAGAGGCAGCCCTGCATGCGAAGCCTGGGCCATTGCACTGGACATGCCACGGAAGAGGACGATTTCTGACAGGACCAAGCCACATGGACTCGAATTTGATGGGTCCTTCGACTCAGCAAATCTTGCGATCACTGGCAGTTGGGAAACAAGCTGCCTTCCGGTCAAAGGTCTTGCCATCAACAACGCCACTTGCTCCCCACGAGCCAAGACCGCAAACTGCGTCAAAGCCTCTGCAAGGACTCTTCAGCCGTTTAGCCGAAGCCGAAGCAAAAAAACCTGTCCACTCCGGGCACTCCGGGCCTGAGCTCCGTCGGTGGCCACCCCATGCCAGCCACCCACGTGGCGAGCGATGGGAACGTGAACCGAGAAGTCTTTGGAAAGATCCAGTTCTGAGTCGTCCTGGAGACATAGCATAACTTACTGAGCCCTCACACGCAACACCAACGCCTCCTTCTCGCAGCGTGCGAGCTCCGGCCAGGGACTGGTGCCCTTCCGAACACTCAAGAGGAGGTAAACTTTCTCCTTCCGCAGAACTGAAACAAAGCAGCATGGAAGCAGACTCAGCTAGGACCCTGGTTGAAGCCGAGTGTCGACAACGGACTCCCGAAACTGAGCCTCATGGTCAAGACAAGATCAGACACACTTTGTGTGTGCTTTTTGCAGAACCGGGTTTCTGGGCAACAGCAGCCAAGCAGCTCCCAGGCTGCGGGCACAGCTCGGCGTCTTGGCCAGCACCATTGCACCGCTGGTGTCGCAATCCAGACGATGCACGGTGTGCGGCAAAGTCCCACAGTGGGAGAGGGCCTCGCGAATCATCGCAACTTGCAAAGGGAAGGCTGAAGCGGCAGAAGGCAGAAGCGGCAGAAGGCACCTGATTGAGCAAAGCTCCCCCACGGTAGCGATTGGGCGGCGAGACCGGAAGACCTGGAGCCGCCCAGTTGCCGTGATTCGGTGAAGGATCTACACTCCTGCGAGGCTTCCGGCCTGCAGGCTTCGCAACTATAAGCAAGTCTTCATCTTCCATCAAAACTTCCAACACATCTGCATCCGCAACCAACGGGATGCATCGAAGCATTTGCTGGATGGTCTTGACCTGTGTAACATCGCAATCTCCAGGGACACTGCGACATCCACGCAGCCCCAAGGTCACCGAGGCACTCGCGACAAGATGAACCTTGACACCGAGCTTGGCAGCAATCTCCTGTCAAGCTGGGACTGCTTGGGGGGTAGCTTGAGCGTGACCATGTGCAGCTGGCAACTGGTCAGGTCTGTTTTTCTCGTGGAGAGGATTCCAAGATCTGGCTTCAGTTGCCCATCAGGCTACATCTGCCGAGGAATGCGTCTCAACTTTCGTCGAAAATTGCTTCGGGACGTCGCCACAAGAGCGATCAGACCGCGTCTGTGCACATCCCGGATTTCCTGGCAGGGCGAAGGACGGAAGACGGCTCTGGAGTTCATTGTGATCCCTAAGCCTTCAAAGGAGAGGGCCTCCGTAGAGAGCTCGATTAGTCTTCCTTGGACCTGTGTTCAACACTAACCTTTTTTTTGCGATGGCTGTGCACCTGCCAGACCGGGTCCCGGGCCTGTGGATGTACTTGACATGAAGGCTCAGCGCATGATCCTCGGCAGGACACGCCGCAGAGACCACACACTCTCCTTAGGGCCTGATGCAAGCTCTGGGACTGCGGCAGTCTCGAAGCTCTGGCTGCACTCCTCCAGCTAAAATCACTTCAAGAGCCCCCATTGCCCGGATGCCCAGCTGGGCGATGCCTTGCACTTGAAGGCTTTGTCGCTGCACTTGGGCCCTTCGGGCTTGGCACGGACCACGCTCGGGCGCAAAGGGGCTGGAGGCACCTGAGAGCCGCTACGCCGCTACGCCGCTACGCACCGACGCGGATGCGAAGCGCGAGGCTCGCCAAGGCCAAGGCCTCCGGCACCTTCGGCTCAGGGAGCACCATCGCAGGGTCGGAAGAGGAGGCGGAGGTGCAGGTGCGGGGGCTGTTTTGAGCGCAAATCTCCCAACCAGAATCGAAGAGAAGTACTAGAAGCCCTAGCAAGCATGCTGCAATCTTCTCACGAGTCTGCTAGCTGGCTCAGCTCAGTCCAGCGGGAGAAGCGGCTGGGAATCGGCCTCGCAGATATGGCGCCGAGCAGCAGGAGATGTTGTTCCTCGCTCCCGGAGCCTCGCCCCAGCCGAAGCGGAGGTCCAAAATGCGCTGCTCAGTCTCTGCGAGGCTTTGTCTCGCGAGTGCTTCCTGCAATGCTTCGGCCAGGCACACCCCAGAGGCAGCGCAAGGAGCAGCACACAGCGTCTCAGCATCTCAGCACCTTCACGTAAGTGTTGCCGAACATCGCCCATGCCTCTAACATGATTTCATCACATGCAGCAAGCTATGGCCACGTCTGCAGGCCTCTGGATCGAGAAGATCGGGGCAGCAGTGGGCCATGTGACCTTTGCCTCAGACCGCTGGTCTCCCTATGAAGGCCCGCAGCCCGCTGCACTCCCCCTGAGGACACGGCAATTCTGCATTCTGCAAGCACATGCAGGGCAAACAGGCATCCTGAGGTAGACTCTGCCTGTGTGAGCCTGTGACTTGTCAAGCGCGGGCACTCCGACTCCCAAACTCTCGATAAAACCAGAAGCTTCAACACCCACAGCCCTCCCGCCCTGAACCCTGAAGTGTGGAGAAATCTCGGAGCCCTACCGTGCCAGACCGGGATGGTGCAGGTTTCAGAATGAAAGCTTCTTCTTGTGCAGCTCTCTAGTTTCCTGTCGAGGGTGGTCGACAGTACGATTTATGTACATAAGACGTGCTACCATATCTTGTGTACGGTGTCAGCAAGGAGATACGAAAGAAGCTGCACTCATCAGATGGCGCCGGCGTGGTCGACTCAGATTCGAAGCGCCACCGGCACGGGACGGTCAATGCTGGAATGACCCAGTAATGCATAATGGGAGTCCTGCACAAAGTCAGAACAAACCATATGATTTTTGCAGCGTCTCTCGGAAGGTCGAAAGGTCCTTCTCCTGTACGACGACATCTAGATTCATTGGAGTCACCCCATGCTGCGGCTGGCAGATTGGATCCAATGGGCTGTGTGCGCCATCGTTCCGACACGTGCTGGAAGCCAGGGCAAGGGACAGATCGTACCTCGGAAGAAGCGATGCGAAACGACACTACCACCTGACTTCGACAACCTAAACCCAACTTCATTCTCAGGGTAAGTTCCTGGCACTATGCCCTCAAAGTTGTGCTTCTTCTCAGCCCCCAGAATAGCAACCGGGACAAGCATGTAGATGCTGTTCCTTGGACCAGAGCGATGACGCGGCAGCTTTGAAAGCCGCAGTCGGAAGTCGAAAGTTTAGGTGCAAACAGAGTGACAGTTGCCCATTCAACAGCTGCACGGCTTCTTTGACCACAGTCTGAATATCTTTGCTGTCCAGCGCCACATGGCCCCCAGCTGAGCTGCAAACACCTGCCGGCCTCACACCCAAGAATGGGGTTGTCGGCGTCTCCTTGCACCGTAGCCCGGCAGCACAACTTCCGTGGGTGTTGCAGGTCCCTCCACATTTGGCACCTTCAGATAAGCCCACAGGAGCACCCTGAACAAGTTCCGGTGGGCACACGATGGCAGCGACACAACCGATCAGGAGGGCAACCAGCAGCCCTTGGAAAGACAACCCGGCCATCATCCGAGAGTTCTCGCAGGCAGCTCTAGCAGCACAAGTAAGTCTAAGCCGGAATCAACGCCAGGCCCTACAGATGCACCGTCGTGCACTGGCATGGCAAAGACAGCTCACACAGTGGAGCAGTAGCTCTGCAGCAAGAATGAGATCATGTAGGCTGTTTTGCACAGTGTCCACCCTGAGAAAACTGGATTGTTCGGAAAACAGAATGCCCAGAAGCTCGCCAACATGGCTGCTCGGATGCTAGGAGTTTCTGGGAACAGCAAAAAGGCCAGCCAAAGCCCACGGCCCCTCACACAAGAGATCCGGCTCCGGCCGAGCTTGGCGTGCCGTGCAAGACTGGCGCTTTGATCAGACTTCTCTGATATCAAGCACACCTGTACAATAACAAACCTCCCTTCGGAGAGGTGCTCTCGAATCGCCAAGTCCCTAGACTCGGCAGACTCTTTAAACAGTCTCATGTTACGGAAAGAAGGTCTGGACGAAGAAAATGTTGAGCACGACATAGAACCTAAGTTAACACACCTGCAGGGTGGGCCTACATGAAGCATCTCCACCTATTGCTGTGTCTGCCAAGAAGCATTGTTATCAGCAAGCGGACAACACGCCAGTCAGTAGCCGGGCTTGTCAGGTAGGCCTGGAAAGCGCGATCGGTGCAAGCATCGATGGACGCCATCGCCTGACATCTGGGTTCACCATGCAGTACCATGTCCAAGCAGTGTGTTTATTCAGCAGTGGACCCATAAATAGCAACTGAACGTCTTTCAATGCATCCGGGCAGCCATGGTGGCCCTGATGGACTCTGGCGACCAATCGCCTTCGCGCTTCGTTTCCATGATCTTCGCAAGCTCTTCGTCAAAAGAGGACGAGCTCCCGGGTGTGAAGAGTCGAGCCTGAAGCGAGGCACTGCACTCGGTGCATGATCGCAAGCTATCGCAAGGATAGAGGCTTCGTGAAAAACTGTTTTGCTTGCAAAGAGGCGTTGACACCGTGTGAAAGATACATGGCATATCCTTGCGCGTTGGCCGCCAGCATCGGAGTGCCACAACTCAGGGCTTCCATGGCCTTTTGAAACTGCAGCTGCATGCAATGATCAATGGATTTTTTTTGCGAAATTGCATGGTTGCATGAGAGCTAGACAGAACTTGCCACAGATCCGCTATTAATGTGGACTAAGACTCGGTGAATCCGACTGTCTCCATTGTGCTTGCGGACACATGGAGATCAGCAGCACGGAAACACAATGCCACCTCCTCTCGACTGGCCATGTCACCAGTGCAATACCTGGTTCCACAGCATTCGACACTAGCTGCTCAGCACTGTATGATGATTCTTCTTCTGGCACATGCAATGACACAAAGCACTGGCCAATCAGGCTGAGGATGCAAGCGATGCTCGGGGCCGTGGAACTGCTTCAGCTCCGGCACCATAGAGCCCGGACCGATCAGCGCCAAATACACATGTTTGGGGGCACGCTTGTGGGCGTCTACCAAAAACTGAATGTCCTTCTCGGCTGTAACCCGACCAACGTACACCCAGAGATACGCCCTTTCCGCTCCGAAAGTCAATCTTTTGCGGACAGCCTGGACCTGCTCCTCTGGCAAGTCGATCCGAAAAGTCTCGCGGTCGACCATGGGACCCCAAATCACAGGAGCGACACGCTGCTCGGCAACTCCAGCATTCCGCAAGATAACCAGGGACTGCTTGGACACCGGAAAATACGTGGCTCCCGACAAAGCCCAATTTCTGTAACCCCAGTACACCATGCGAACTGAAAACCAGGTATGCAATTGTCCAAGGAAGCCATTCAATGAAGAGAAGTTCTCATCCCGCGCAGCGATCTGTGCAACATCTGTGTGGAGAGAAATCAGCAAAGGCACATTGCAAAAAGCGCATGCTGCAGCCATGACTTGCATGGAAGCTTCCTGTGTAGCATGCACTAGATCTGGCTGCACGCGCTGAATCAATGCAACAAGCGTCCTCAAGTTGAAAAACGAAAGGTCCATGCACATGTTCTTTCTGTAGACTGGCGTCCGTGCCGTTTGGAGTGTTACATGCTCAACGCCGTCCACCACCTCCAGCTTCGGCACGGTTGGGTTGTCGGGAAGTAAAAAGTCTGGCGTTACCAATGTAACCTTCACCCCACGCTTGACCATGGCACGCACGTGCGCCATCATTCGGATTGCCACCCCATCAACTTGGCCCGGAAGCCATGAATGCGAATAGACGAGGACGCTTCCAGGACCAGCATGTCCGGACTTTGCCATGGCTGCGCTCCGGAAACAGAGGAGGTAAGGCTGCCTTAACTTGGTCTTTCTGAACGTCAGCTGATCTCTCATCCACATCATGCATGTCTGAGATGCAATGTACTCAGCACGGTGATCCGGCCAGAATGCTGTAGGGCAAAAAAGCCATGAAGTCGAGGGATGTTGAACAGAACACATGCAAAGTTGCTCGGGCGCTTGATGTCTGTGTTTTTCCAAACGACGCAAAAGTTGTTCGTTTACCTCGGCGGGCTTGTGCGGAGCTAGTGACCGGGCCGAGTAGTTGTTGGCACCTCTCGTTGCGATTTTGCAAGGTCACTACGGTCACTAGCCGGTCACTGCATCAAGTTCCCCCGCAAGCACCCCGCACGTCGCCCCGCCCGCCTCCCCGCCAAAAGAAAACGAATTGTCAACAGCGGCTTGCGGCGCAGCAGCTGTGCTGCAGGCTCTTTGAAGGTGTAAGAAACTCATGCATACGACATCTGCGAAAGACAACATGTCCTCACTCGGAATGCAGGTGCGGCCCAGTGTCTCCACCCAAATTTGACCGAGGTGTGCGCGAGTACCTCTAGCAGCCCTCACATGCAGTCCCAGCCGCATTCTTTGTTCTCTGCAGAAGCCTACTTTCTTCTTCTTCTGCACAGCCACGAGAGAAGGAGCACTCGACCCCCTCCCCCCCTGCGCGCGAGCGCGCCCTGGTTCCAAAGTCTGTGTGAAAAAGGCAGGTCTGCTGAGGAGGCCGAGGGCTGGAACTCGCAACCTCCAATTCCCTGAACACTATTATCCCCCCGGCCTCATCTTGCTGAGGCTGCTGCGAGCTCTGGCAGTCAAGTCGCGACGTCTTGCCACACTCAACTCTGTACGCACCGGCAGGTGAGGACTAGCATTTGCTCAGTAACAACAACATGCATGACTCCAAAAGTGCACATGTTCACTCCTGCTGTCCCCCTGCTCTGAACGCCATTGCAGCATGTAAGGGTTTCCTCCGTGCTCCCTTGGACAAACAACCTTGGGTCATCAAACAAGCAGGAAGATACACACTCGGCTAGGTGGTTCAGCCTACTCTCTTTTGCTTTGCTAGGGGTGTGAGGTAGCAGCAGTCCTGCTACCTCGCGCTCCAAGGCGCTACCCCAACCATCATTTTGACAGATAGAGGGTCGCTGTATAACGGGATGGCTGTCCGAAGGACAGCAGGTGAGTTGTGCCTCCGTGGGGGCACTGTAAAAGGCAGCTGACTATGTACACGTAGTGTGCCCCCACGGTTTCGGCATTGGCGAGTACCTCTGTGGGGCCTTTCAAGGTGGTCAACAGCAGAAAAGGCAAGGACTGCACTGCACACATCTAATCACGTGTGCCCCACATCGGATTTGATGTCTACTTCTACTGTGTTAGTACCCCACCCCGGAACTTGTGCCTCCCTTCAAGAGGGTCAATCAAGGTCGAATGCCGCATGCATGCGACGTCGCCTGTGACTTCCACCGCTACTCTCACTTGG